ATGGGAGGAAAGGGTTTAGAGTTTAGGTGCCCACCTCCAAGAAGGCAATTGATAATCTGTTGAAGGAAGAGTGAATAACCAATATCAACTTATTCTGTTCAGTGTCAGCTTTGATTTTTGGCACATGTTATAGTTAGGCGTCGTCTTCGGGCTTTCGTCACACGCATGAAATGTTTTCTCGACATGATGTCACGGAATGGTGGCTGATTGCATTTTAATGAAAATGCGGCTCAAGTCGTAAAAGCAACATTCTTGAGCGTAACCAATTTTTGTAACAATTTCACGCAATAAAATTACATCGCGGATGACAACTCGCAAATCAAAATAACGCGTGTTTCCCTAAAGACCCGATGACATCAGTTCACACGCTCCCCATATGTCGCCTGCCATCCTGAGCCCACTGAATCACCCATAAACCAGCCCCACGTCGCGCCACCGAACGTCCTCAGGCACGGCTGGGCAATGGGCGTCCCTCTCCCTCCCCGTCGGACCTTTGTGTAAGACACACGAGGTATGCGGCCGCGCGGCCCTGGCGGCGCGGCGGCGGCACCTCGCCGCTGGCTCCGGCACCTCGCCGCTGGCTCCGCGCTCCCCTCGTCTTGCCGACAGATGGTCTCGGAGTGCTGCGTGATTGGGGCCGGGGAGGGGACCGGCGGCGCTCCCAGGTGGGCCGGCGGGCCCCCGGGCCCGGCAGAGGGTGGCAGGTGCACAGCCGCGGGCGGCAGCGGCCGCACAATCACCACCGCGCCGGCCGCCGCCTCATTCACCTGTTACAGAGGGCGACTGAGGAATGCGCCGGCCGGCCGGCCGGTCCGTCTCCCCATCTCTTCTCACTCAGTTTTTGTCACTCAAGGTGACTTTGGTTTAAATGGTTGTTCTAGAAGTGCGCCTGAGGCTCCGTTTTAGTTACCCGGCATGTGCGATGATCCTCCCCCGAGGCATTTCGTGTCCTACGACAGACGCTCCATCGCGGGCGCCATACGGCAGGCTTGGTCACCAAGCTGCCAGATGGGGACGAATCCGCACACAATCGCGGCGCAGAAAAAGCGCCAGAAGCGTCGCGCTGCGAATGCCGCCGGAGCGGCAGATGGCATTGCATATGCCGTGTTTTGGCGTCGCACACCGGTCGCCGCGCGGTGTCGTCGACTTCGGCAGATCGACCAACTGGCTCGGCTTCTCTGCCGGCCATCCGGGCCGGCGCACACACTTCTGACGCTGCCTCGATTCGCCGGAACAGGTGGCGGACAATGTGTTTACAAAGCCGGGGAGGTGTAACTGGCCGAGCTCCGTGAAATGGACTGCGGAGGGAGGGGCTGAACAGAAGGCAGAGATTTGCCGAGCCGTCTACAGAGCGACAGTCGGTAAAAAAGGCACACGGAATCACAATCTGGCTCTGGGAAGTGTTGACTGCATTGACGGTGGCTGACATCTAAGTTCTTTAGGAACAGCTTGCATTCTCACATAGACAAAAATATGTTTCTTTTGAAAAGGCATTGGTCAACTTCGTTTACTTTTGACTAGCCGAGGCGTGCCGTGGCGACGGGAGAGGCGTTTTCGAGCGTGTATGTTTTTTACACCAAACGCCGGTGTGTAGCGTCGCTGTTTTTGCCATGCCATACCTACACATTAGAATGCATAGAATCAGACATGTTTTTCGTTTATGTTGTGAATTTTAGTCCTAGGTCACCGAAGGTCGTGTCTCGAGGTCACGCTCAGTGATCTCATCTAAGAAGGTACATGCTCGCGCTTAGTTGCCCCGATCGAATAACTGCTACCAGCATACTAAGTCGTGTGACATCATGAGTCCGGTCAATTCTCCAGCTTCCTTGTCACTAAGAAAAAATTAATCTTTGTTTCTTCGTACCTAACGGAAATGTCCTTCTTTCTTACCAAAGTCAACGCGTTGAGGCGTTGCTAAGCAGGTATAATTTAAATGCCCACAGAATAAGTAATACCCTACTCATGAGCTCATATCATGCCCCTGAGGTCATGTGACAACGGTGACCCTAGGTTTGTGACCTAAAGGGCGGCTTCAGTTGGAACTGCTCTCACGCTGTCCGATTGTGGATACCGTCTAATCTGACAGAAAAGTGGGACCAACGATTAGGATGGATTTTCCCGAGGATGAAAAAGGAAATAATCCCCAAACTGGCAGAAATATAAATTGTTCCACAATTTTGGAAATGGTTCGTTTTAGAACTGCCCATATGATAGCTAGCTCACGCATGACTGGAGGGGGGAAGGGGGCTTTGCAGGGCCTCATCCCGTTTTTCGGCAATATCTTCTAAACCATTTGACGGATCAACACGACACACTAGCTAAAATTGTTTGGCCGGAAATGACGGTAAAGTGACGTCATGTCAGCCAGTTTTGATGCAAAATATTGAATTACGGCAAACGCTCTCAAAAGCTCAGTTTTAATTTTTAAAGCTATATTTAGATCAAATTCCTTTGCATGAGTGGACTACAAATACACGTTATCAAACTGCTACCTATCTCGATTTTTCGAAATTTTGAAAATTTTGAAAAAAAAAATATGTAGGCCAAATAAACTTTCAGATAGTCATGGCATAAAATAGCACTTAAAAGCATGAACATACCTATTGGGATAATAAGGAAAACCTGCGAAAAAATGGCGTTCCGTCCATCTGTCGATCAGAACAATGGCGACGGGCCGGAAACCCCGGCCTGGCTCATTCGAACGACCGCGAAGAGAAGTATATTTGGCAGCCATGGACTGGAACTGACGCCAGTTGTGCAGGGCTAAAACGATTAACGAGGGTGGCCGCTTGCCCGGTCTCTCCTATGCATCCTACCAAGTGACCACATTAGTGCACGCGAATAGTCCTCAAGTGCTATTATATTCATTTTTGTTACGCCATCACATTCATTTTATACTCATTCATTCATTCATTCATTTATAAATGCACATAATCCTTCTTTCCCTTCAAATTTGTTTTATTATTCGGCATGCCTCAGGCCCGACCACATCCGACATGTTTCTGCTGTCCGTCCCCGATCTCAGCACGAAAAGCCGACTGCACCCGGTGATCACAGCTGCCACGAGCGACACCTACAGAAAAACAGCACAAGCTCCGCGCGCTCTTCTGCGTAGGTGGCGCTCGTGACACGCTACGAAGTAAAGCATTGCCGAAGACACAGGGGCATACGAGTGCTCTGGCGGCCACGGGAAGGGGGAGGGTTGAGGAAACACGGTTTAGTATGCATTCCTTGACAATCCGATGTTTTAGATATGGCAGTACATGGAAATCAATATAGATGTCCTACGGCCTACCATGAAAAGGCCCTCTGACCCGATCATGCATCCCGACCATCCATCCCTTTTGACGATGCCCCTCTGAAACATACCTATTTTCGCATGCTCATCCGTTCTTTTGTCATCAAGACCTATAAGTACAAAATATTTACCCCCTTTCTTGATCACACCTGTTTTGGGGTGAGAATTGAGATTCATTCCCACATCACGCATGGCTTCTGAGTAGGGCGGCAGTTCCCTATACATACCCTATAGGAACAGACCCTATCACTATAGGGTGACCCTTTGCACCCGAGTGCATGGCTGGATGGTCTGTTCCACCGGGACACTCTTGTCTCAACAGGATCGGATAGGTTCACTGATTCAATCCCTCTCCCTGTGATGGGAGTGTACGAATCGCCACGCCAGTATGGATCGCCCATGATCGTAAATACAATACAATACGAGTAACTACCTTTTTAACGTCTTATGTTTACATTAATTGCGGTTATTATCAAACAACTAAATAAGAGTAGGTACTAGGTATACCTATGCATTGTTCAGTACTATGAAATCCTGAGGTGTCATTTCACACGAAGCCTGAAGCAGTCATAATTCCAAATAAGTGTAGGCTGAAAGGACCTTATCCAACAGAGGGACGAAACAATTATACGCTTATGGGAGTTGTTGCGTCGTTGATTGGCAATGCGAGGCGAATTAGGTATTAAGTCATTTATTCATGCGTTCTTACATTCACAAAGCATATAACCAAACATAAAAGCATAAAACCAGTTAGATAATCCAAACTGCAAACTTCTTTTTTCCTCGACCGATGACAGACACTTCATCAAATTTTGTTTGAATTGACGCACAAGAGTTGCCCGAGAGAATAGCTTCAACTAGAGAATTTGGAATAGCAACCATCAGCCCCAGCACTTCTTCAACAATATATCACTCTTCCTTTACAGATCAGTTTCTTGCTAGTGCATATAAAATAAATGTCATGTAAACACAGCCGGCCGGCGGAAGGTTGCTCTTCCCCCGCCCATATCCGGTCGCTCGGAGGGGGAGGGGGAGGGGCCGAGGAGCGGGAGGGAGTGTCCGATGAGGCGCCGACAGGCCACAGGTGTTTTGTGTCCCGCGCGCAGGCCCATTGTTTTCCCGCCGCGACGACTAACGAAGCGGTCGGAGAAGCTCCCGAAATATACCGCGGCTGCCTGTCCAGCCGGCGACTGCGAGCAGCAAGCCATGGCCTTTGTGTGGGGCTCCTCTGCAGATGGGCGTCTGTTCCAAGCAGTTACACAATACACAGTGGTCTGCTGCCATAGGCTTATTGGCTAGCCGATTATAAATGGGATAGGTAGCGTTACTTGCGCGAAACGTATGCTTCCATTGCCTAAGTGTAAAATGAATTATACCTCTCGTTCCAGTGGTCGATTTCGAGCCGAGTTTTTACCTCCACTTGATATGAGCCTTTAAATTAAATTATGTCTCATGGTTGTTTGTCATTTTATTATATCCTTTAAATCTCACTAAGATATGTACTATGTAGTTCGACTCAGTCCTGACATTAACTCACTATCGGACTGGTTGTAAATGAACGGAACGAAGCGGATTTAATTAGAAGCTTCAGAAAATGGTTATCAAGTTTATCACATACATTTGTGTTTATGTGAAACTTATTCAGTACCTACATACATGCTTGTATAACAAGAGGTTATTTGCGTGATAATTTGATACACACAAGTATGTACAAGAAAACGAATGTGTATTGAGGCCAAATAGCCAATGAAAATACATCAAATGCAGCGTCTAAAATCAGACAGTGCTTTTCATTCACATGGCTTAATAGAGCTTTAAGCGAAAACTGAAAAAGTTATTTACTCCGAGAATGAAATTCCAATGCATGACACAGGTCGGCGGCAGCTCCATGTTGAATGAGCCGGCACTTATAGCTGCGGCTGCCATGTCATTCGGCTCATGTACCCATTACCCAATCGATGAATGACGATGCTTTACATACGATCACAACGTGCATTGACTCCGATCTATTCTTCGTCCATAAGGGCGAATATTTAACCCGCGCCCTGGTGGGGTCTGTTTATAACGCGACCTGGTGGGGGGGGGCTATTTTTTGCCCCCCCTCGTATCTCCGAAACTACTTGACGGATCCTCAAAATTCAAACGGCGTTCGAAAGGCCTGTCAAATTTGTTGAGGGAAACCAAATTTCATTGACCTCGGGGTCACCGATGACGTCACAGGTCAGGTCAAAGATGACATGTTTCACCGTTCACGGGTCATCTAGGGAATGCGCTATAACACCGAAGAAAACGCATTTTGTCGAGAATCAGCGATAGGGCGTCAGTTGCCTAGTACATATGTTGCTATAAGAGGTCACTGACAATACCAGGTCAGGTCACAGGTCAGGTCACCAAGGGTCAGAGCCCAGAGGTCAGGTCACATGAACCTAACATTAGGTACTTAGGTTGTGCGATGCATGTTTTATGGCCAATTTTTCATTTCCAACTCAATGGTGTTGGTTATAAGACTATCAGGTACGGCTTAGGTCACTTTCTGGTGAAGGTCAGGTCAAGGTCAGGTCAAGAAAGGTCAAATTTTAAAGTTGATAGTTTTGCACAAAATGGGTATTGATTCGATGCAGCTCGTCACGGGGAGTCTAATGGTGGTCTTTGTTTTGCGCTACGGGGTCTAGAATTGCTAAAAATTGAGTTTGAAAATTTGACGTCATCAATTTTGAACAGTTTTTTTCGCTATAACTTCGCCAAAAAATGAGGTATCAATCTCAAATTTGGTATGTGGATAGAAGGCGGTAAGGACTATCATATATATTCCGATTTTTGCGAAACTCCAAAAACTTTTTGGATTTTTCGGTTATTATATTCAAAAAATCTATTTTTTGATTTTTGGGGGTCAAAATCCAAAAATTTCAAAAATCCGAGATAGCAGTTTTGTAGCCCTGTCAATTTTACATATTTTATGTCTTGTCGTTTTTCTGTATTTGCAAAGCTATAGGCCTGACAGCTCTTCCCTCGAAACCCTTTTTTTGGTCGAAAACGGCAGAACATGACGTCACTCTGACGTCATTTCCAGCCAACCTATCATAGCCTTTGGAAAAATTTTGGTCACGATGTGTAAAATTGATGTCCGAGAGGGTACTGAAAGTTTGGTGGCGATTGGCGCAGCGGTTCTGGAGATATATCGAAAAGTCTGGAGGGGGGGGGGGCAAAAAATAGCCCCCCCCCCCACCAGGGCGCGGGTTAACAAGAGAGAGATAATATATAGTTCAGTTTCACACTCGTGCGACAAGGAAAGTTTTCCTCACAGCATTCTAAAAACCGTCTTTTCGTCTACAAAAGACACACTTTGTTCAATACTCGATTTTGTTTAGTTTTCTACGCTGGTATTGCTTGTCACCGTATTGACTTTTCAATTACTAACGTGACTACATTTAATGTACCTATTTATATGGTTGAAATTAAGCCGCATAATTTAATTGATTTCATTTGATGGCTACGATACCATTCAATTTTTTAATGGGAATCTCTAAGTATATACGTGCTATTTCATTTTAGGCACGGTTGCACTATCTTAGCGGGACACTGTCAATTAATTGAACATCATGCATGTGCAATTGCATCTTACATATTTATCAATGATTTGAACACTGCATGCGTTCCATATCTTCATTAGCACCTTAGAGCCGCAGCCATCAGCTAACGTCGATCTCCAGACTGTTCCAGCACCTTTCTCCAGCCACAGCACTGTTCCTATGTCCGTGTTCCGATCCATCGTCTCCTCTACCGCAGGCAGTTGTAGTTGGTGTCGTACTGAGCGCCGCCGTAACAGGCGTACTCCACCGGAGCAAACGCCGCCTCCTCCTGCGAACTCGGAGCTGCCAGACCCTGAGGCTGACCTTGACCTCGGCTGACCTCCGGCTGGGCGGCTGCCTGCTCCGACCAGGCCTTTTGGGCGGTGTATGGCCAGCTCTGCAAAAAAAAAACATCGAGTCATGCTTCCATTGATAAAACATACCGTTCAAAACGAGAACATGTGACAGTTCCACCACGATTTAAACTAACAAATTCGAATGAAGATTAGGACATCCACATTTGCAGCTGTACCGCCTTTTCCGACAGTTCCTCAAGCGATCCGTGGTTTCGCCGTAGGTATGGAGAGGGGAGGGCTTGGGTGAGGAGGAGCCCGCTGGCGAGGGGCGAGAAGCCTGCTGTGAGCCGGCGTTCCACGCTCGTCACATGTGACAACTCTGCTGAGACAGGCGCCCCACCGCCTCAGAATCGGCCCAGTCATTGTTGCTGCGGCGCCGTGAAGTCGGAGAGCTGACCTGTAACTCCTGTGTCGTATGATACATGCATCAGTGTGCTGCTATGGTGTGGCGATAAATCCATAAGTCCAAATTTACAGTTATGAGTAGTGATTTGGACGCTGATTGCGAACATTTCTCGTGAGCAAAAATAACGTCAGCTCCCCGCAAATGCATTGAATTGTACTCTCTCTCGAACCCTTCTGCACCTTCAAACGAACGTGACCAGGCACACGCTCAAAGAAGCCGCCATTTCCGGACTGGCCCTGTCGGACTGCCGGCCCTTTGAACCCTCGCCGACGGCGGCCGTCCCGCCTCCACCTCTTCACTCTACCTCCTGACGAGCACAGCACCACTATCGTAACTCGATATCCTTGCGTCGCGTCCGACTTTAAAATCCTTTCGGCGGCGGGTAGCCGGAGAGGGCGAGCACTCGGGTGGGGCGCGCGGACGGTGACGACGGCCGACGGGCTGCTCGCGCCGTTTTACAGTCGGCGGGGATAAACAGGGGACCATATGGGGCGTCTCACTCGAGTGCCTCGAGCTCTTTATGACCAATCGCACTGTTTGTTTCTGTGAGCGGCCCGCCAATCGGAAGCGTGATTCGATACGGCCCGCGAAAATAAACATTTTAGCGTGATTGACAGCGCCGCTATTCAGCTTCGCGCGCCGTCGTGACGACGCGTCACGTCACTTGGTCGCGTCGCCTCCGACGATACCAGAGCGGCCGGCTGCGGTGTCGCGGTTCCGAGCGCAAATGGAGCAGTCTGCGGCCGATGTGGCGCACGGCGGCTAATGTGCCGCTGGAGCGGCGTGTTCCCACCGCAGACCGGCGCTGCTGTTTGTGGGCACCTATAGGTTTCACCGGGGGACTGACCCAGTGGTAGGGACGGCACACCTCTTCCGAACACAAACACAGCCCCGACACAGAGTAAACAGGCACGTATTGAGGGTGATCGGCCCGCGCGCTGTCCGAAAATAGATCACCGCTCGCCGGTCAAAGTGGCACTCGATCTGTGGCCACCGATCCTACCCCTCCCCCTGACCAGCGAACACGTCATACTATGTCATTATGTGATTAACGGAGTGCCACAAGTGGGGCACCAGCCAGCGCAAAAAGCGTTTAAAATGCTAAGCCCTCCCAGCAGGTTGGTGTCAAGGAAACCACGCTCGGACTTCGACCCCTTCTGAAGCTGGTGTGCGAATGTGTGGCTGCGTAAGATTAATGATTGCTCTGTCATGGGAAAGACCTGGCCATTTCTAACTGACCGTGTCTCCCTTTGGATAAATACCACAAGGTAGTGGACTGTCCGTTGCGAAATAACCCAAATTGCTGAGCCTCCACCGGGGAACTTATATTTCAATCAGCCCCGGGTAGGAGTAATCGACCTTTCATCAGCGAAAACTGGGGCTAGGCGGCTTATCATCAGCGCCGATTGGAGGTATGTGATGGCTTGCTGCATCATGAGCCTGGCTTGGGTAGAAACTAAACGTATAGACAACTTACCATCAGCGCCGGGTGGGGGTATGCGATGACTTACCATCAGCGCAGGGTGGGGGTATGCGATGACTTACCATCAGCGCCGGGTGGGGGTAGACGTTGTCGCCGAGACTGTCGGGATCCGACTCGAGCAGGGCCGCCAGGTGTTTGATGTAGGAGGAGGCCAGCCGCAGCGTGTCCAGCTTGCTCAGCTTTGTGTCCGAGGGCACCCACGGCAACGTCGTCTGAACGCGGACAGGCGTCATCGGGTCAACTCAGACAGATAGAGGTCAAGTTATTAGGGGAGGAATGACCTTTGAACGTACCAACATAGTTTTTTATCACACCTGGGCCTGAAAAAAATAAATGCTTCCTAGCCTGAAGGGAAAATTTGGTTTGCTAAATTGACAGGGTACTGGATAGGCACTACAATGATAAATGGTCAAGACTAAGAGTCAAATGACTAATTTTGTAACTTGGTGCTTGGCGTGTGCCTTTATGCACGAGCCACACTGAGGCAATAAACCAAAGGACAATGGGTTGCAGATTGCTATGCAGATGCGTGACGCGTACCACAGTACCACTGTGGCGACATGGGGAGCCAATACGTCTCATGACCGACCTCCTGAACGGTCCACAATTCGTCGTTACGACGAGACAAAGGTAAACATTGTCACCAGCCTCAAACGCGTTCAGAACCCTTCAGTGAGTGTCCCTACCCATCACGAAAATAGCAGCCGTCATGCATAACATTGCACTGTCATTCGAATCACCACATAGCACAAACAAGTCTCACTGTTTACATAAACGGCGTTTTGCGACAGAGGGCCAGCTGAGTGCGGTGAGCACACACTGAACAGGTGCTCTCGTCAGCATTCCTGCTGGATCTCGCCAGCATTCCTGCTGGATTCCAGCCGGGCGCGGCGGACGGGTCGCGACCTGGCCCCGCCCACTGACCTTCAGTCGTGTGAACGCCTTGCTGAGTATCCTCATGCGGGTCCGCTCCCGCGCGTTGGCGGCGTTCCTCTGAAGGGGCTTCTCCTGAAGGCCGGAAGAGCTCACAGAGGAGTTGGAGTCGCCGCTCGACTTTCGGCGCCGTGGCATCCTGGTCAAAAACGGGGAACGGGCGGCGATGATACAATGCATAACATGCTAAGCATAATCATGAAAAAGCGTCACATTTGTCAGACATATTTAACACCCTTCGGCTGAGGAGAGAGTGTGGGGTGCAACTGCACGCACTGACGGCTTTCTCATAATTTCTCAAAACACGATTGCGTTAGAGGGCGAAAAGTTTACATAATAGATAGTTGGTTTAAGCCTAAGCTTTTAAAATCAGTTGCATTTTCGGGTCAAACCAGGTCACTGAACTATGATGTCATAAGTCAACCTCTGCTCGGTCAAAAAAAAAAAAAAATGTCGCCACTTCACAAAGGCAGCGCACTCAGTGCGAGGAAATCTTTCGCAGGGAGCTGAAGCGTTTTTTAGTTTTAATGGTGGCCGCCTGGGGTCAGTTCGGTCACGTGACTTCATTAAAGGACAACGAAGAAACTATGAAAACTCTTATTTTGACGACAGAAATAAGTTAGCCCCCCCCCCCCCGTATAGTGGGGGGTCAAACGGACCCCTCCTCGGTTTTTCGCGAATAACTCGCGTAAAAAGCGGCCGATGGCGACGAAACGTTCAGTACCCTCGAGTCAATCAATTTTACACCGACTTTGAAAATTTCATGACCCTGACTTAAATGACCTTTGACCTGTGACCGATTTCTTGAGGCCCTGTTTGGCCGGAATCGCGATGCGGCGTATGTCGGCTAGCATTAGCCCTGCGTTTGCAGTCTTTTCGTGGTTTCAAGCGTTTAAACATGTGATATGATGTTCCCATGCGTCAGGATGGGTGTCAAGGTCACCTGAAGGTCAGGTCAGGTCTTTAACCTTTGATGACCTCGGTTCACTTTTTCGAGTTTTACATTTTGAACATTTATAAAGAAGTTTTGGTGCCTATGTAACATGTTAAGAAGCTGTCAGAGGCGGTTCACACGTGCTACTAATACCCAGCAGGACCCCTACTGGTTGACCTGACCTGACCTGACCCGACCTGGCCTAAATGCATGAAGACATCATATGTGATCACAACTAACATGATGTGCGTGATCAGCACCCCGACAAAAACCATAGCAATTAGCCGCCACACTTAACGACGTTCTAACAGGTCCCGATTTTCCCGACTTTTGGTCCATTGACCTGACCTGGAAGGTCAACCAATGACCTAGGACCTTAAAATTGTCATCGGCTTCCTCTCCTGACGGGCCACACGCTCGTTTTTTCCGCGAAGCTCTAGCTCGATCAGGGGCCAAGCGGCAAGGGGGGTCCAACGGACCCCCCCCCCCCATACGTTCGCGGCTGGAAATCACCAATACGGGCAAGGGTCGAGGCATTATTAAATATAAGGCACATTTATTCGTAACTTAATGCATTTTTTTGCAAGGTTTTATGCAAAATCATTATTTTCTTGCCTTGCATGGCATCATATGTGACGTCTCTAAGGTCGTCTGAGGTCATCGGAGTTTTCCGTCGAAACCTCCCGATCAAATTAAACTAGCGGATGACGAAGGCCACAAATGAACCCAGAAAATAAAAAGCCTACCCAATTCATCAATATGAAATATGATCTCTTTCGAACAGCTTCGTGACTTTTTTACCTGACCTAGACCTGAGTTCAATAAACTTGGCTAAACTTTTCACAACAAAAGGTTTATCATTGAACGCGTCAAAGCAAGGCGAGCATGAAAGTGTCACAATTGAGGTTCTGAGACTATTTTTGGCAAAACCTTTTCCTAAAAAAAAAACAGAATCTTACCTTAGGCCTCCTGGCCGGAACTTAGATATTACCAGGTGCCCTAAGGCTTTGAAATAATTAGTTCGCAAGTCAATAGCTAATACGTTGTAAATCCCGAACTCGAGAAAATTTACCATTCGATAACCTCTCGTGGCATGACCTTTGACCTGACCTAAATAATGACATATATTTTTATTTTTCTGAATTATCTTTGGCTTTCGATCGCCGCTTGTCTCTTGTTGCTGCCCCAATCCTAATTCATGACTATGAGCCGAGTTAGAAAGTTGTCTTGGTATTACGATTGGATCACATTCCTGACACGACTAAAAAGGGATGAAAGGTAAAGACCAAGACAAATAAGACCAATAAGCTAGGGTGGCAGAAGGCGCAACTGATGCACGGGATGTAAATGTGGGGGAGGGGTACAGATGAGTTCAAGTTCAGCAAAAACGTTCCGTCGCAATGTATGGCGTGTGGATGCATTGACTTTTTTATAAATTTAGTCCGAACCTTTTGATGGGAAGGATTCACAAGGACAGAGCCACCGCTAAGCGAAGCTTGTTGCGATGACCCTGCCCTCTACCCTCCGATCGCGTAGTTCCGATTCTATGGCAGAATTTAGAGTCCAAAGTTTAACGTGCGCACAAAGCCGCGCACGGCCGGCTGCATCATTCACGTTCCGTTGCAAAAAGTTATTTCTTCAATAAGGCATGGTTAAATGAAAAACGCAATCAAAGACAAAAAATAATGGCAGCCCATTAAACGTATGCAGTACGCAGGACGCAAGAACAAAAAGGTCGCTATAGTAGCTTGGCAGGAAAGCGGAGTTTTTATTTACTGTCAAAGTATGCAGTGGCTAGAAGAGCTGCGGATGTAAAACTAAGAGTATATCAGGAAGAACAGAGACTTTGCTTTTTGCGAGCACTTTTCTTCCTTTCTTAGCCAGATGATCTTGTTTAGAGTTGGTGCATGCTAGTCGTCAAATCTGTCTCCTTTGTGCATGCGAACATAGGGAAGACAAATAGAACTAATTGACATGAAACAATGGGTTAAGCGGTAGCGCTAGCATGGTTAGGCATACTTTTTATCGTGATATGAATCGCACATCTAAATTGCAAAGATTGCACCGCAAAAACATTGTTACTAGATTTTCCATCATTTTGCAGTGGTCCCAATGGCCCTGATTTCTCAGCTAAAAGGATATTTTGTCAAATAAACGGCCTTAGATCTTTATCAAGATACCCGGAAAGGATTTTAATTTCCGTATTTATACAAAACTGCTGGACTCTAAGAAATTGTGTTAACAATTCACATTTGAGAAGGCTTGCAATACAAAAAGGGAATTAACTTCGGAATTTTCCGTCTGTCAAGAAAACCTTGCAGTCAAAATTAGGCACATGACCCGTGAATAAACTAGCACAATGCAGATCGTCCGCTCCTCTCAGCACTCACCTGATTGCGTTCCCAGTCTTTCCTGTCGAGCTTCGTCGCTAATCGTCGATTCGCTGTAGCATCATCGTTCCCGACGAGTTTTCCCCGTCGCCGCCGACGGTACCGATGGCTCCGACGCCGCTGATTGGTCGGCCGACAATTAGTGGGCGGAGTCACAGAGCGGCTCGTGCCGATACCGACGGTTGCGAGGCGGATCTTTGTTAGGAAGGCTGTTGTATTGAAAATTATGCGGACTTTGTTTTTAATACGTGCCTTTATGGCATGGTGGGTTGCTAATAAAGTGTTATAAGTATTTTTGAAGCAGCTCACTCAGCTTTCTCTCTTCGACCAGCGGCAGTGTGATAAAGCGATGCTATCAACAGCCAATGAAATTCAATGGGGATGTAGCATTTGCTGTCATGACCATACAAGTGTATGTGTGCAAACATCAGCCAGCACCAATCATACTATAAGCGTCTTGCTTCCTTTTTAGCGCTGAATACGTTTCAATCATTTTTACAATTCATTTTTTATTAAGTTGCTAAGATTATCATAAAATGCTATTAATTTTTCCCGGCAGCCTTGTGCTCTAATCGATCTCCGAATTGACATAGGACAGATATGGCTATCGAGCCCAAGGGCCCTTCGGCTCTTCGACTTAATCTTGCCTTCGTTGCGTGCCTAACACGGGCATCCATTGTTATTTCTGTACTCCATCCCACGCTCGCGTTGCTGAGCTCAAACATACCCAAAACATATCCAGTATCCACTCCTATGATAGATAAAATAATTCCTCAGCTAGATGAAAATATAACAGCTTAGGGATATGCAATTGAGATTCGCAAGCAATAAATGGATGCACATTGCACTGCATTGTATGCATACAGCCGTTCAGCACTGCATATTCTCCGAAGTATCTCGTTCAGTGTCAATATTGGTCTATATTTATATCTCTCCGTCATGCAGTCAGCAATCAGTCTGTGACAACATCATTACCACCATCCCCTCTCCTAGTTGTGACGTCACACCCGGTGCCGTGACCGCTGTGACCGGGGACGGGTGAACAAATAGAGGGGAGACGGTCGCGCGCTATTTTGACGATGCTGTCAGTCTGTTGGGCCCTCCACATCCCCTTAGCATTATTGGTGTTCGACAAGGCGAGATCAGAAAGGGTATACCGAAACCAGATAGGTCGTGGTAGTGTCAGGTTTCATACAGTTCATTTCGTTTGTTGCGTGCGGTTCTCGCGTGCAGAAAACTCCTCATAGTTGCGGCACTCTGCCGATTTGATTTGAATTGTTTTACTAGTTCAAAGAAGCAAAAGTAAACTGATTTCATGGGTCAGATGAAATGATAAGTTTCAGTGCATTGTAGATGGCACACGTTATTTAAATCACAGATGCGGTATCCCTAAAACAAAATGTTTTGACTACGAGCATAGCTATGGATGCTAGCATTCATGGCCTCTCTCTCTCTCTCTCTCTCTCTCTCTCTCTCTCTCTCTCTCTCTCTCTCTCTCTCTCTCTCTCTCTCTCTCTCTCTCTCTCCCTCCCTCCCTCCCTCACTCACTCACTCCCTCACTCACTCACTCACTCACTCACTCACTCACTCACTCACTCACTCACTCACTCACTCACTCACTCACTCTCTCTCTCTCTCTCTCTCTCTCTCTCTCTCTCTCTCTCTCTCTCTCTCTCTCTCTCTCTCTCTCTCTCTCTCTCTCTCTCTCTCTCTCTCTCTCTCTCTCTCTCTCTCTCTCTTCCTCCCCCACTCCCTCTCTCTCCGACGTCGGCAGTTCAACCCTATCCGCCTCTCTGTTGGACGTACCGCGCTCTTTACGACCGGCCGCCGCCCTGTCGTGCTCTCCCGTCGTAGTCGCCACGGCCACAGCTGGCCAGCCGGCCGGCGAACCCACTCTCTGTTTGACAGTCGTCGTGACGCCCAGCATTGTCGCTATTTACGAGCGCCAGCTCTCGACTCATCCCGCCGGCAGCCGGCACTATAGCTCAGTGTTTACTCGATAAATACTCATGGGGACTGTCACAGGTCTAAACACTCCTCCTTTAGCGCTCCTAAGCAGGTCTCATGCCACTAACCCTTTTTCTCGCTGGATTATTTCGCATTTACGTCTAGGGGAGACCCGGGAGGTATGGGCCCTCGGGAGGTGGGCCATCCCAGTTTTGAAGAAGTGTTGCGTATTTTTACACATTTGACCGCAGAAACTAGTAGCAGCCATTTCGTTTTATAACCCACGTGATTTCCAAAATCTTCCTCAGTCTTCTTTGGCATTGAGCGATGATAAGCGCTTTTGCCCTCTTCGAGTAAAATACGGTACGTACAGAAAATTTATGATAAATTTGAACCAGGCTCCTTTTATTATGTCAGACCATCGCTAACATAAAGCTTAAAGCATGCAAATTAAGACTGGATAGACAATTTGAAGCTTTCTTGCAAGATTATGAGCTGAAATGCTACGCTCATTTTGGCGTCCTAGCCGGGAGGTTCGGGCCACCCACCCCCGGTGATCCTAAATCAATGAACTGATGCTTTTATTGAATGTCCTCTTAACCCTCGCCGGCCGAGGGGGGGGGGCGGGTGCCGCCCCCCCCCCATAGGGTTTTTTCGCGATAGCTCCGAACACGCTGGCGATAGAGAGCTGAAACTTGGCATACCTGACCTTTGATCCAAGCCGCATCTTTTGACACCAACCGCATTTTTGGGTCAGGTCAGGTCACTGACCTATGACGTCATAAGTGAACCTCTGCACGGTCTTCAGATGTCGCAACTTCGCAACGCCCTCACTGCCAGAGGAGATGTCACAGGGAAATGAAACTTGCAGGATCTAGTATCCATTATGAGTCTCACAACTTGTATATCTCGGATTTTTCCTAAAGGTCATATGAGGTCAGGTCATTTTCGTGACCTCACCATTATAAGTCAATGGGGAAAAATGAAAACTGCTATTCTGGCGCCGGGAACGATCTCCAACTATCTCAAGCACACAGAATCGTGATTTGATGCACTCCTTGCAAGGTTAGATGCGTCACTTTTGCAATGTTGACCTTGCGTGACGTCATTTATGACGTCATCAAGGTCATATTAGTTTTTCGTCAATAACTCTTGATCAAATTGAGCTAGCGAGTCGGGAAAGCCACCAATGGACTCAGGAAGACCTGCCGAATCGAATGATATGCGACATGACCTCTTTCGACCAACTTCGTGACCTGGGGGTGCTGACCCAGCCAGCAATTTTGCTCCGGGCCCAAGCAGGCTCAAGTGCGGATTGCCCGAGATTTTTAGTCGGGCTAAAGTCGGCTAGGGCTTGGGCTAAAGTCGGCGTATGACACAAAAACGCCGACTAAAGCCCATGCTCTGCCGGAGGTATGCCCGCTCTGCGAGCTCTGGACAGCCGTAGTTTAGCCCTAGTTGAGCGACGATTGGCGTTAGCCCGATTTAAGCCCGAGCAGTGAATCCATTTATATAATGGAGATTACTCTGGGCCCGAGCGGGCTGAACTCCGGCAAGCCCACTCTGTGTGCCCTGTCTATCCCGACTTAAGCCATAGAAGTGAATGGGGTTTATACATTGCAAACTGCTGTGGCTTTGCTCGGGTTCGGCTCGAGTGACGGCTCCTGTTTTCTCAAGTCTCGACTTGACTTCATCTTGCTTTTACTTCACACTGGATCAAGTAGCAAGGAGCAGCCAATGCACTTTCAGCAGGTTGTGCGGTTTCAATGCATATTTAAAATTGTTACGGTCACTCATATGCTCTGTTAACCGGTCATCGAGCATTGCGAAAGGAAAGTAGTGGTTGACTTTGATTGAATGTATATTTCAAACGACTACAGACACTCAAATGAAACACAAATACATGAAACAGTGGACTGCAAACTGCAGCAACAATATAGCATGAGTCATGAAAAAGCGCCATCAAAACTATAAAACAATCAAAGGCCCGCTAGCCTCCCTCCCCGTTCATAATACTTGGTTGAACACTCAACCGAAAGCGCAAAGTAAGGACAGCAAGTAATCGCTCATAAGACATAAAGCAATTAGCAAACAATCGTTTATAAGGAACTTTACTCTGGTGAATGGGAGCTTTGGAGGCGTCTGGCTCCTCCACACACACACACATCTGCAGTAGGTGGTCGGCCAACTTTCGGCGCAGTTTCCGTATCTCCGTAGGTATACCGTATTTCCGTAGATATACTTACTTAATTATAAGCAGGCAGTTTCCGCTAAACAACTTGGCGAGGGCGACTGCGGCGTCCACCCGGTCCTGGTTTGTATAACTATTCTATTTTTTGGAGCCATTTGCTCTAATGGTACGTACCTGAAAAAGATATTAATTGGTTTAATTTACATTGCATGTTTGCTTGAAAAATAACTTATTGTTGCATCAATACTGTAAAAGCACTTCTCATTGATCCGTATAAAATGGTCATTCGATTTTCAACGCGGACAGAGAATGAGCGTGCTCGGTGATAAGTAGATAAATATTTGTGTTTTGTATTTCATTTTCCTGGTTCAGAAGTGCTGATATTTCACAAAGATATAAAGGCACGGAATGCGGCTTTTCTGAGCGAGGGTATAAGTCGCCAGGCTGAACAGCTATTCAGATTCATGTTTGATGGCGTGAAACTCAGTCAAAATCATGACGTTTACATACGATCAAGCGCACCATTCAATACACTTACCTACCGTAAAACTCCACGCCAGTCCATTTGATAAGAGCAGTGAGCACTATCCCTTCTTCGCGCTGTCACACGCGCCCAAACATCAACCACCAAATGCCTCAACACCGGTGTGTCGTTTCGTCGCACAGCGCACAGACTGTCACAAACGCTGCACATGATTGGCGCAGAACTGCGCATGCGCGAACAGCCGAACAAGTATGGCTAAGCTCCGGCTTTACTCCAGTTAGCCGAAGGACACAGCCAGCTTGATCAGCCCGCGCTCCGCCCAAGTTAAGCCTGTTTTGGATGCGCGGGCAGATGTCGGGCTGAGCTACTGCTATCCGCACGTGGGCATAGCTGCGGCATGCCCCAGTTCAGCCCTAGTAAAAATGCATTGGTTTTGATCAAAGT